AAATATGAAATTTGAAAATAGCCTACAATTTAAACTTTTTCTTTGTAAACTAAGCTTTTAATAAAACTTTTGTAAAATTTGTCGCTAATTTGCAATTTCAGTGAAAAGATGAATTGAGGTTTCGTACGTTTATTTAACTGCCACATGCGTTCGACGAACTGCATATTAAAGTTTTAATTGAAGTGTCTATAATGCAAAATTCAACTTAACTTTGACTGCTGACTCGTAAGTGATTTTGAAAGGCAGAATTATTTAAAAAATCTAAGTTATCGTTACCGTAATTAATTAATGTTGAGCGCGGTTGTTTAACAGTTAGGTAGTATTAGAGTGACGAGTACATAGACATAGTATATAATGTAAAATATCTCAATTAATCTCTTAACTACTTTTTTAAATTACAAAGCAATTTAATGAATCGTGGAAAATGTATTGAAAATAATACATACAGCATTGACTGTTTCGTTAGATCTGAAGAATGAAGTTCTACATGCAGGCCAAAAATTAAATCTCATAAAAGAAAAATTAACTCGAAAATTTATTGATATAATGAAAAATGTTCTGCATTTTCTGTGATCGACTTGGAAACATACATTAAAATTTGTGTATAAAATTAATTAATTGCAATCCAACGAACGCAGATTTTTGTCATGTATTATTGTCGTTAAAGTTGACAAATAATAATGTTTTTCGAACTAGGGTAGGAAAGTTTTATTTTAAGATAATTGTTGTGATAGGGAATTAATTCTTATCAGGGACTGATTTCAACAAAATTAGTTTTGTTGAACAGGAATAAATGAAAGTGTTATAACCTTTTTTACTATGTGCGATGGGCAGAGTGCAAGTAATTGAACAATATTCTTCAATGTATTTTCGTATACATGTTGATGAAAAACGCAGTTGAAGACTATACAGTTGAATACTGTTAGTAAAATAAATTACAGATTATTTAAAATGCCCTTGTGTGGTTTTGTGTGTGTACCCTGTGTTATTTTCATGATAAAAAATGACATTCCCAACGAAACAAGCTATTTGCTTCATAGAAGTATTTTTTTAGCACTTTTAAACAGATTTTAAAGCTGAATCTCGTAGTTGCGTTCAGAATATTTTAACCCATTCTTGTATTATTTTGCATAGTAAATAGTAAATACGGTTTTGTATGCATAAACCTGCATACATTACTTCACCCTGGAGCTACTTAGGCAAATTGATCTTGACAAATGTAGTTTATTTCCGGTAAAATAAGGGTTAGACTGCTTGCCAAGATACCATGGGAGGGCGGAATCACCTTGATAGTTTATCTGAGTACAAATTTGTTTATTTAACTTGAACCCACGTGAGAATTGTATGCAGCGAGCGAAGCTATATGCAGTATTGAAGTATTTTACAGCAAGGCTGTTGATCTATACTATTAATTATTTGGAACTACTCGATAAATCATACTTATTATTTTCAAATACGTTTTTTGAATATTTCATTGTCACCATTCCCTCTAATTTTATTAAATAATGCTGTGCATTATTCTTGAGACCGTTTTTATTTTTGTTCCGCATTAGGGTTACATAAAAAGTACTTAGACCATGAATGTGTATAATTTATTTTGTGGAGTGATTCGAAAATATTATCAGACGACGACAATAACTTGATCTTATGATAATGGTGTAGGCTTTACATTCTTTATAAAAATGGAAAAAGCTCTTGTGGAAATAGGACACGAAATTGCGAAGATATTATGACAAAAAAGGGTCAGGGCTTGAATAAACTGGTTTAGGTAGATGGGTATTAAGCCTAAACGGCCTAATCAAACGAATACACGTCTCCAAATTACATCGTTTAACCATTGAATCATTTCCTTCATCATTTAGCCACCGAGCTGGTGGGAGTAATAGTAAATTTTCATTATTTTCGGCCATGGTAAATATGCGAAAACCTACTGGAACATTTTAATTGTGGAAAAAAAATTAAACGACAAGCTTGTATAACTTTTAAACACAAGGTGGGAAATAATGGAGCTGTCTGAAGAGCTATTTTCAAACATTATAATTAATTTAGCATAAGATTTTAATGTTTTCAGAACCTATTAATACTGGAAATAATCGTTCACTTTTATAAAGATATTAATGATACTCTTTCTCTTGACAATTTAAAGCATAAAAGTCCGTATTTTCAGCTTTAATGGCGATAGTTAAATCCAGCTAATTGAAACTGTGCCCAGTTTTTCGGAAATGGACCATTATTATGATTGATTGTTATGTCTTTTTAAAAACCGAAATTTGGTATTTGAACTTCAGCCGAGAAACTATTATTTATGTCCACCAAACTCTCACTTTATTTCCACTGCATTTACGTAATCATTCAGATTGATGTTATTGCTGCTTAAGATTATGCACAGCTGCTGGCACCCTTTGTTAAAAATGAAACAATGGGAACTTCTGAATAGCAATATTAAAGTTAAAAATATACTTATTTAAAGCATATTGTGTGAAAATAAATAGTTGCAAGGCAGTTTAAGTTGCACAAGCTATTTAGAGTTTTGCTACAGCTGTGGCTTTACGTTCACTCGGGCGATATTTTATTTTATTACACCGATATTACCGAAGCACTTGCAGGCAAATTTACCTGCTATGAAAACAGTTTATTTGGATAAGCCACAATACATACACATTTATATAGTCTAGGATTTTCATATCTTAATGAATGTTCTAAAAGTACATCATCAATAATTATCTATAAATTATGGTGCACCCCACTGAGAAAAAAATTAGATAGGGAAATTTCGTCAACTGTTTGCCTATATTCGTTTAACTACTTTACTTTTAGATGAGTTTTATTACTTCAGGTCATTTTCACATAGTTCAATAACCGCAGAAGCCAAGCAGTACATTTAATTTATTTTACTTCCGTGAAACAACAGGAATATATTGTAAATACTGATTTGTGTTTCCAGTGAAACAGTTTTCGATTATTTACATATTTTCCAACAATAAACAAGAAAAAATATGCCATCTAGGAAAAGCTCCATCGAACAGAAAGCTAATTAGTTTACTGCATGTGTGTTTTCTACTTAATGATTCTCTGAGGCTGCTCTTTGATTATCGCCTTTATAATTAAGCTTTAGCCTCGCTATACACTCCAGGATTTATGGGAAGAGTGGATTAACAAGGAAAACGTGAACTGGGAGAAATTTTGTCTACTCTTTTAGGGCAATTCACTTTAAGAAGTTATATTTTATCGGATTAATATTGAAAAATGGCTGATTTTTTCAATTTGTCGTAACACATTTTAGGGTCCGACGTCCCAATTCATTTACTTTATTCGTTCCATCCATCATTTCAAAACGGTCATATTAAAAATATGTCTGAGTAAGTTATTTGTTGACTTATTGATGCTCGTAATCAATCAGCATTTTCATCGATATCAATTATTTCTCGCCTTCAACAGTGGACTGGCCAATTAATGATTTATCCGTTATCTCGCAAATTTTGGGATAATAAGTAATACAAATCACGTAAAGTTGGCTAAAATACAAAATAAGTTATTGCACTTATGAGTTACCAATCAATCCATAGCCTCTGATTCTTATTGCGTTAACTATTCGGTTCACCAATTGTATTTATTATGTTGTCTTTCCAGTCAGGTATGAAAATTATGAAAATACCAGTGTACGTTACAAATATTAAATACTCCCTAGTATATATTGTTTTAGTCTACTTTCTTTCAGTTTTAAGTTCAAATTCTGGGCCAAAAGGCTACTGTCCGTGAAAGACCAACCTAGCATGAACTAAATGCAAGAAAAATGGGCAGTTAATCAACGCTAGACTTTCCTACACTATGCCTGGCTTAATCGTTTTTGTTCTAGCCAAGTAAATCTATCTTTCTGAAAAGGGTGCAAGGTTAAAAGTTTTAAAACATTTAAGCTTAAGTACTTGCAAAAGGCAAACCTGATTATTAGCATGACAAAAGTATTTTTTGAACATATAATAGTTTACAGAACAGAATATTCCTGTTAGTAAGCAAAATAATGTAGAATTAATTTAATTACTCAATTTGTAAAATGCTAATTTAAGTCTAAGTGTGTCGAAAGCTTCCCACCTCTCTATTCTTCGTATAAAAAATCGGGCCACTTATTATCACTTCGTAATAGAGGGCATGAGGAAATCCTGTCTTTTCCAAAGGCATAAACTTTTGAAGCGGATAATTTTCCTCATCCATATAGAGCTTATTTATAATAGTTTAGCTCCCAGACACATTTGACCGTTATATTTGCAAATATAAATTAAGTAAATGAAAATAAATCTAGCCTATAGTTGTTTAAAATAGAACACCCACCTTTCAATTTAGTAAATATACCGTTCAGTTAAATCACATTTTCACAGCTCGATAGTGCTGCAATGTCTTCTTAACAATAGGTAAATTGCGTCAAATTGAAGCTTAAACAGATTGTTCTACCGTCTTGCAAATAGATGGGACTCTGTTTATTTCTAATTACATCTGTAAATAAGGTTGCATAGACGAAGAACACTTAGTAAATAGAGCTTTTTTTGTAGTAAGACAAGAATAAATGGTATATTTCACAGGCCAGGCAAATATCTTTTTTAGAAATACGAGATTAGAAAAGTATAAGTTTAATATTATAAAGTTTAATTCGCTTGAAAAAACGAATGAGTAAAAACTATTATACATTATTTGAACCTACGAAACTGTTGACTTAGTGTGTAGTACCATAATTGAAACATTCTTTTGTCTCTATACACATGTGAATTGAATTTATCATTGAATTTGAAAAAAAATTGTTAAAGTAAAAATAGATTACCTACTTCATTTCTTCTTTTATTTCAGTTCTTTAATAGCTTCAGTTCTCATCTTCTTTCAGACATAAGGGCTCTACAGAAAATACCCCAAATGTTTCTATAAGAATTTTCTTTTGTTGCATGATTACATTCGGTCACTGCCTATAAAATCGAACATGACATATTTCAAACAATTAATAAAAACAAATGTTGTAGCCAGGTATTGCAAAGGTATGTATTAACAAAAATGAGATTAGCAACTACACATGTTGCTCCTAATTTCACAATCACAATAGCTGAATTTAGAAGCAGCATGATTACTAACTAGGAATTTTCCGTCTGCAGAAAATTGATACTATTTAACTTGCATTAGCATATTATCGGCTTCAACATTAAGAAATAACTCAATATAAAACTAACGAATTCAAAGAAACTGCTTATATAAAATCCCACAGATTATGAATAATTAAATCGTACTATGCTAAAGTTAGAACAACAAAACGATGACCAGCATTAAAATCTTGACGGAATGGAATATAGCCCCAAGTAATATGGATTATGGCGATCTTTTCGACTTGAAGGCATAAACGCAAATCTGCGCCTATAAAGTTCTTTTCGAGCAGCAGCTGATATCATTGGGAATATGTTCAGGCCGCCTCTAATCCAGTAAACTCGAGCTATTTAGTATTCACGAATTTAAGCTAATCAATGGCAATACTTACAAACCAAAAGGCTCAAGAACAATATTGTTGCTTGCAAAATCTGTTAGCAACAGCGTGGGTAACAAGTTGAAAATGATGAACAGCAAATTTTTAACTGCAATTTTTACAAAACTAAATACTTGCCCCACCTTGGCACAAATAAAGAACATTATAATGCCTAGTTTGGCTGAAAATTTCAGCCTTCCGGCTCAGACAACGACGGAGCTATGAATTTTCGTCAGAACGCCCAATTTTCCGGGTTTTCCTCAATTTCTCAGTTATACAACATAATTATATAACATAATTATCCGATTGCGGCATTTGACCTCTTATTTTGTAGATATTTTTATTCGTACAAATCATCTCGTCGGGTCATTCCGACTGCTGGTTTCAAAGTTATAAAGAAAAAATCTAAAAAATCGCGTTTTTTGCAATAAATTGTTAATAACTAACATAGGCCTGAGGAAATGTGAGTGAAAAACACATACTTAGCTGCTCATTATCTTTTGTATCATCGCAAAATTGGTTTGCTACTAGACTTTATGTCACGCAAAAATGCTTACAGCCTACCAAAATCTTTTGAAAAAAATACCGTTTTTCTTGGACCAACGTTTTGGCTTTATGTAAGCCATCATCGGAGCAGTGGTTGGTCTTAAAATTAAATAAAAGTTATTTGTCATTAACATAAAATTCAAACGGAACCGAAACAACAGTGAAATTGAATATAAAAGGTAAAGGTCAAACAGACATATCAATTTAACGGCAACACAAGACAAAACAGCTAAAAAAGTTTTAAAAAGTTATAATAAGGGTCAAAAACCAATAGTCACAAAGCAATATTTGGGAAGACAGAGATACGCAATCATACTTAAAGCTACTCACCAATAATTGACTGCATTTCCGCCATGGAATAATGGCCAGAGCATGCTACTAGAGGTATGTCTAATATTGTACTGATTCAACTATTTATTGTGTTTGTATGTGAAAGTGTGAAGAATGACTGGCTGATAAGGAAGTATTAATTCTTTTCTTTTTTTAATTATTTATTTGCTGTTATAAAAAATCCATCATTCCAAGTTTTAACTTTTCGACTATAGTCAATAAGTGGTTCGATGTTCGTACTTCTTAATTTCTCGCAGAATGTTGTTGTAAGCCTCGTTTAACTTTTCGGTGTCCCTTCTAAAATTAACCGAGTTATTGATTTTAATCAAGATGGATCCACTCAAAAGTCTTTTAGATAGTTGCGGTTGACAATTCTTACATTATTGAAGTCAAACTTGTGGTTCTGTATGGTTTGGTGTTCGACCGATGCGCTGGCGTTAAAAATATTGGTATTCGTTGAATCTCTTTTATGTTCAGAGATTCTCTGCTTTAGATATCTACCTGTCTGACTGCAATCAGAGCAAGATATTTTTTAAATTATGTTTGACTTCAATTCAGGTGATGTTATAGTTTTCGTTTTTGTCTAAAACATCTTTTTAAGGGTGTTACAGTTCAACCCAGAGCGACAGACCACCAGCTCTGGGAGTGCATAAAAAAGCATTTCCCAAACCTCACCGAAAAAAAAAGGGTGTTACAGTTATAGAGCGCAATTTTAGTGTTTTCAGATGATATTATTTTGGCGATTCTATTAGGTAATGACCAGTTATTCTTCACACTTTTTACCCAAAAATACAATGAATAACTAAATCAGTGCAATATTACACCTGCCTCTAGTAGTCATGCTCTGGCCATAATGATTAAATGGTGGAAATGCAGTAAATTATTGGTGAGTGCCCTTAATTGTGATTGCGTATCTCTGTCTTGTAAAATATTGTGTTACGGCTATTGTTTTTGACCCTTTTTATAGTCTTTTAATTTTTTTATCTGTTTCACCTTGTGTTGCCGTTAAATTCATATGTCTTCTTGTCCTTTGACTTCTATATTCAACTTCACTGCTATTTCGGTTCCGTTTGAATTTTATATTGATGACAAATAACTTTTATTTCATTTTAAGATTGACCATTTCCCCGATGATGGCTTAAATAAAGCCGAAACGTTAGCCCGAAAAATAATATTTTTTCTGCCATTATCTATTGACCGATCAACCTAGAAAGCAGAAAGCAACAAATATTACTAATTAATTCCAAGGTATTGCTATATTCAACTTTGTTGAATTTGTTCAATTTTAATTACCTAAATGAAAATAAAAGTAGCCTGTAGTTATTTAAAATAGAACATCAATATTTCATTTCGTAAGATATAGCGTTCAGTTAAATCACATTTTCAGAGCTTGACAATGCTGCAATTTCTTCTTAACAATGAGTAAATTGTGTCAAATTGAAACTTAAATGGTCTTGCGAAGAGATCGGTCTCAGTTTATTTCTAATTACGTATGTAAATAATGCTTTATATTCGAAGAACAGTTTAGCAAAAAGAGCTTTTCTTATAGCAAGATAGACAAAAATAAATGGTGTATTATACAGACCACTATAAATTCTTTGTTAGAAATAACTGGATTACAAAATCGTAAGTCTAATACATGAAAGTTTGATTCGCATGAAAAAGCAAATGAGTTAAAAACATAACATTATTTGATACGAAACTGATAATAAAATTGAAAAACAATGAACAATATTAAAATCTTGGCTGTCTGGGGTATCCACCCAAGTAATATGGATTATGGCGATGGTTTCGGATTGAAGACATCAACGCAAAACTGCGCCCAGAAAGTTTTCTTCGAGCGGCAGCTGATATCATTGGGAATATCTCCAAGCCGCATCTAATCCAGTTAAATCGTTCTATTGAGTATTTGTAAATTTGAGTTAATCGATAGCAATACTTACAAAGCAGATTCAATAGTAATATTGTCGTTTGCAAAATCTGTTATCAACTGCGTTGGTAACAAGTGCAATCTATCTAGGACCATTTGGAGCAGAGCGTAGTAAGTTCGGTAAACTATCATTCCCAACTTAATATGTCTAAAATGTCAATAAGTAGAAATCGACAGTTCAGAATATTTCATAATTTTCCACTTACCCCTCTCTGAAATAATATTTCACTTGATAAGGGACGTCGCTAAAGTAGGTACTCACCAACGAAATACTTGTTGGATCCACGCAAAAGTAACAATTTCCATGGGGATTGCAAGATAGGCAAGGATGATGCTCCATTTTTAGACGGTCGAAAACTTTGAAAGCAGGTTGATAACGCGATTGGGATACTGTAGCTTAAAATGATCAACAAATACAGTTCTCAAAAGTTTCTTAACTTGACGTCTTGAACTTCTCAATGATATAGAGGAAAGCAGTGCTGGAAAACTTTAGCTGTATTGAAGTTCTCTGAGGAATATGCTCTTTCGATTATCAGAATTCAATTCGCCAGGATCTTTTATCGTTCCAGCTGATTATTCATATAATTCGTTAACCTTTAAATTGTGGCATGCGTCATTTTTTAGTTCGAACGCAACTTGCTGGCGTCACTATGATACAGCGCATGGACGTATATCGATGAAACCGAAAGTGAAGCAGGCGCCGTTGCGACATTGAATCCCTCATGGAATATATTTGACATATCAATGTTAGATAAAATATTAAAATCATCCTGTTTAATTGATGAAAATTAAAAATCGTCGCAGGGCACGAATTAGACATTAACGTATATAATTTTTCCCCGAATTGCACACACAAAAATGCAAATATGTACAGGGTGGTTCTCAACTAATGGTACAAAATTCACTGACATATAGTCGAGACAAAAATATTGCGTTCTAAGCAAACTTGTCTTATCTGAAAGTTAATAGTTTTCGAGAAACAGGGTGTCAAAGTGTAAATAAAATTTTAGTTTATTTTTAATAGATTCTTAACCAGTTGTACTATGACCATAAATAAATGTATTTGGGAGTGTTTTAGAACGATTACTTTAAATTTCCGATTACCTAGCTTGTAGAGCATAGAGGGCACTAGCTGCAATAGTCTGGAGCCATTTAAAACATCGGGATTTTTTTTTGTTTTTAAGATATCGAATGTTTTTGACTATATTTCGTTCTATGCGTTTTCGAGATATTTCACATCGAAACCTCCGGTGATGATGTGTGAACTGAAATTCGATCCCTGATCCATTTGGTGTAAGGTAAAACTAGAAGAAATATTTAACTTATACTATTACCTTGAATTTATTGAAAATGCCTCGACTTTTATTGAAGAATGAATAAAGAAGTGAGCGATAATTATGGTGCGTGTTTATGTTCAAGATAATTTTAAATGCTGCACAAGACTTCCAAAACAACTATAATTTTTTGTCAATACTTCAGTCATTCACTAAAATGGTTAAAACGTATTGGAGTCAGAGGAGTTCAGGTTCAACAGTTATTATAAAATAATAATTTTCAAAGTCTTTGCAAAATTTACGACTCTCGAAAACTTTGAGAGCAGGTCGAAAACCCGATTGTTCTCAAAAGTTTCTCAACTTGACGTCTTAATTTTCTCAATGATATAGAGGAAAGCAATGCTGGAAAACTTTAGCTGTATTGAAGTTCTCTGAGCTCTACGCTCTTTTGATTATCACAATTCAATGCGCCAGGCTCTTTTAACGTTCCAGGTGATTAAACATATAAATCATTAACCTTTAAAAATTATGTATGTGGTGCAAGTATCTTTGACATGCGTCATTTTTTAGTTCAAACGGAAGTTGCTGGCGTCACTATGATACGGCGCATGCACGTATAACGTGCGAATGCGAACATGAACCACGCGCTGTTGCGACATTGCAGCCCTTATGGTACATATTGGACATATCAATGTTAGATGAAATAGTAAAATCATACTGTTTCATAAATGACTGAAAATTAGAAATCGTCGTCAGGGCACTAATTAGAATTAGTATATAATTTCTTCTCGATTTGGAATAAACAGAGTAGTCAGAAAATAGCGTATTTAAATTGCTTGCCAATTTTTGAGAGGGATATCTGACACACTTATATTTGGGTGGACTTGTTAGGTGGACACGTTGGGTGGACTTGTATGTTTTTCAATAGATATTCTCTATTATCAGAAAAGCTGCTGAATATTTAGATAGGATAACGGACCTTTTTCGATGTAAAATCTGCATACGAAACTGTTCCAAAGAGAATTTAAGGCAATACGTCGAAGAACAATAAAACGGGAAAATGTTATTTGTCAAGGCTTCTCCGATTCCATTTTATTGGGGTATTTTTTTAATTTGCCACGAGAAACTAATTCCAAGGTATTGCTATTTTTAGATTAAATAACTGTAGGTTATTTAGGTTTATTTCTTTAGCCCTTAAGGGACTTTGGTAGAGTGGCCAGCCTGGAATAGTATAAAGGAAATAAGGGTGTTTAACCGGATGTAATAAAATGTTTTGACGGCGATCGTTTTTCACATGTTGCAGATCCTTACAACATTTAAGGATTTAAATCAAGAAAGGCAAGGAATGCTAATTTTTGCTTTAAAAAAATACACAAAAGATAATTCTTCTTAGTTTAAAGAAATTTATAGTACCACCTCATAATAGAGGCTTTTCCAATCTTTTAATACAGGCTCGTGAATATTTTCACTTTTGAAATTTCCTATGTAGGTATTTGAGATATGGGGATTGAGATATGGAAATAGTAGGTACCTATGGGTGATAATTTGCGGTAGAAGAAATTTTTTATATAGAAATTTAATCAAATTGTAATTCAGATTCAATCTATCAATCTGAAGATTAACATTCAAAATTAACAAAAATCTTACATCTTTGAAATGTCTGTCTTGGCTGCTGACTTCAAGTTTATTATTTGCTTAAAATATACAGACTTTTCTAATTATGTTTAACTTCCTTCACTACGATAAACTCCAATTACTGAGCAAATCTAAATTTCAATTACAGGTATTTTTCAATCCACAGGCGAATTGTGATATTAAATACTCATAGCGCACTAATTAAACATTTTTTCTTCTCTTCCTCGGCTTTGATATTTGGGATAGATATTACGTTAAAGTGCTTTTCGCTTTTATTAACGAGAATAAAGTGCTTTCAAAAACTTTGTTAATTCAAATGCAAGATCCCGATCGAACTTTAATCATAAAGTTGATGCACGGCGTTTAAATTAATTTATTTTAATTAAACTGGCAAGAGATCGGTTAGCGATTAGAATTTTTGCCTGCTTAAAGTCATTGACTTATAAATTAAGTTCATTTTAAAAGAAAACCTGAAAAAGCTGTCTAACGGTCAAACTTTTAAGCGAGAAAATGTACAACATATATCTGGAATGATCGAAAATACGCGGTTGTAATTAAATATATGCTTAAGAAAATGTAGACAACGATTTTGCCTGAAAATCAGAAAAAGCAAGCATATCATCTATTAGTCGATATGATTAATTGTCAACTATTAGATAAATCTTTGTATACGCAGTTATTAAATAAAGTAACAAATCTGATTAAGTTGCATATTTCCCTCGTATGATAATCTGTCCGTTTGAAGTGTGCAATTATCGAAAAATTACAGCAGTAATTGCACAGTGTGCAATTATCACTCAACGATAATTGCATTGTTTAC